GAAGTTGTAATTTCAGTGTTTTATGATGACTTATTTTGGACAACAAAATATTTTTTCATAAAACATTGTTTTCATTCAGTAATAAAAAATTATTTTTTAACTGAACAAAATATTTTATCCCAAAGTTAAATAAATGTACACTAAACGCAGCACTAAATATTAGCTGGTGGGTAAACAATATTGAATGTATAGCTTCTTCCCAAGTGTTGTATGTCAAACAGCGTGTAAAACAATACAAACTCATTTAATGATACAACCGGAAATCTCTACCCATAAATCCCACAATTCAGAATCTCAATCTTCACTGCGAACACAAAAACGATAATCTACTTCAGTGGTCATTATTTTTCATCTTCACCGTAAAATACTTATTGTCCATGAAGTCACTGAAAACTGGACTGAGCTATGTTGATAGGTGTCGACTATCTGGTTGGGGCCCGTGAGATGATAGTAATCAATGGTTAGAGACACTGAATGACATGGCTCAAAACCATTTGCAATGGCGCAGGTGCATTCACTCTTTGTGTTCCCTCAAATCCTGATCTTCGGAGTTCCTCATCACCTTGATCTTTTTCTTTTTTAGCTTATTTCACTGGATTCTAGTTCTCGAATAATATTGTTGAACCCTAATCTTCCTGATTACTGCCAACACTTTTACCACATCTGTTACTATGGGATTAAAATTGACAATAACATCTCTGTGCTAATGTGGTATGGCAACATGAACTGATGTACGTTCGTACGAAGTTCTACGTTGCTGGTGATTGATTGATTGATCAGTAATTGCCTCCCTATCAACTTGGTGTACGTCACACGTAGTATAGAAATACAGCGAAACATTTGTCCAGTGACAGCCGAGATTGGAAAGTTGCTCAAATGTTACTAATCTTTGACAAACATTATCCACAACTTAATATTTCTATTAAATTCAAGTCACTTTAATTCCAACAAAGTTAATCATGAGTATGTTAACTGTCCTGTCAATCAACTATTCAAATTTATCGCTGAAATAAATTACTTTGAATGTTTTACAATGAGGATAATATCAATTCTTTATTTTTACTTAATTTCTTTTAAACCGATAAAAATCTTTTGACTATAACTTGATGATAAAACTAGGTTGACAGTATTGATTTTGTTTAATGTCACTTGTGATTGGTCAAATTGCCTCTTGTAACACAAGCGAAAGATGTCGATTACCAATTCTATTGAACAGACTTTTTTCAGATAATCCTAAAATAATGATTCATCAGTAGTTAGAAAAAATTAAATTGCAAATGGACATTTTTAAAGAATAAAATATAATGTTTCCCAACTGTCTCAGTATTGATTATGGTAATTACGAAAATTGATACTGATGCGTCAACAGACAATAGTTACGAATAAATTTGTCGTCTAAGTTTGTGAATATAATGAGAACATCATCAGCGGCTTTCCCTCGCAAGGTATCGTATTACTCCCGCTGTATTATTACACAAGATCGTGAAAATCATGTATTTGAAACTGTTCTGTAGGTCTAAAGTTCAGCCCTATCACTAAACCCGTAGGTAAGCAGTTTTATTTTCACCTTTCTCAGTCCTAATTAACTATTTGTACAGTACGATTAACTGATGTTTTCTCTATGGGCTGATAAAATGAATCCATATCGGTCGGCTCTATTATTTGAATTCTATTATTCTATAAACTTTCTGGAAATTTCAACATTTACAAAACTGAAATTTCTGGAAGGCAATCAATCAAAATTTTATTGATAATTAGTTATCGATTTTGACAAGTGTTCTAACACAGTATATTTTCATTGATTATCGATATTCATCTATCTGTTGTTAAAGAATGAGTCTTTGCCTAAAGTAATGCGTTTAGCGATCTGTTTTATAAATGGTAATGTATTTGTCCAAGTTTTCTGTTTGTACAATATGAAAGGAGGCCATAGGCGACAGTTATTTCAAAGAGTTCTGAAATGGTTTTTGTGATTTCTCAAATATTTTGACTAATAGCATAACAATCCGGTTGCCAGTTTTGCTCTTTCACCGTAATATTTCTATTTCTTAAGTACCCCAAGAGTTGAGGGTAGTCAAACTGCAATGCTTTTTAAAAAGAGTAACATTGCTAAAAGCCTCTATACGAGCTACGAATCTATTGCATCGTATTACCGTGAACTTTTTCGACACAACCATTCATCAACTTACATTCTAATGCGAATCAATTAAAATATAATGAAATTCGAATGTGAAAGGATAAATTCTCTTTCACACTTAAAATTACTGAACAGAGAAACGGCCTATGGTCAGACCTAATAAATCAGTTTGGACGAGTGAGTCATATAGCCCATACAGTGAAGTAGTTTGTCGATAATTTTTGCTGAAAACAAAAGCAGCTCAATTACAAAGTATCTGATTAGTGGAGCTTTCGGTCATTTGTTCTGTCTCCCCAAAATTCACATACTCTTTCCTTGTTTATTCATTCTTATAACTCAGAAAAATAACTTCAAACCATTTAAATCCATTCAAATCATAAAAGCTTGATTTTCAAAAGATGTTTCCTGCTAAGATATTGTAAAAGTTTTCATATAAAATTAACGGTTATCATTTTATAAATAAGTTCAAAAAATAACAATGACAGTACATAATGGTATTTAGTAGACGTTAACATATTCAAAGTTTTCTTCATAAAAAAATTCCAGAATATATACCTTAGTCACTCAGAATGTACTATGTGTATATATTTCCTACTTATCTAAATGACATTTAATGAATTATTTGAATAATGTTTTTTTTAAATATAACCATTCAAAGAAAAAACAAATTGTTCTGTGCTGGAACATTTAAAATATAGACATTATCAGCTAGTGAAATACATTACAGCAAGCTTATCACATAGTCAAAATCATATTCGGTTTTGTGACATTAAAATAATTTCCTTAGATTATGAATACGTTAATTTAATATGGCAGAATTTTTGACATACTAAATCATTCTAATAAATTCTTATCACCATAGCAAGGTTTATATATATATATATATATATATATATATATATATATATATATATATATTCACTAAGAGAACTAAAACACAAAACCGTTAGATAGTTAACACGAATACAAAGTTAACTGGAGACAACAGTTTTTATTGTTGTCACACAATGGTATTACTTAGATTTTAAGATATCAAATGATAACTTTCACGATTTTCACAGACTGTATGAATGAAGAACGTCTGTTTGTCATTGCTGATGACAAATATTTTCGAAAAAAGTCATTCGAATTATTCAAAACAACGATAACAAGCACCATTAAAACCATTTTTAACGACAAATTTAAGTAAGAAATTTTATAGGATTTATCGAGACTAGAATTTTCACAGTTTTAATTCACAAAATGATCTTAACTAGACCACCACTGCAAAGCTATGAGCACAGAAGGGAGCAGGACTGCTCAACATAGCAAACTCGACCGTAAACATTAGATTTTAAACACAAGACCTTCAGTCTTTCCTGTGAACGCGTAACTTCCAAACCGTTTGTAATCTTTAACTTGTAACTATCTACAATACTGAGTGACCTTCGACCATAACCTGTGGTTGACAAATATTTCACATCCAACATTGATTGAACGTCTTGTGTACATTTTGGATTTTTTAGCTTTAAACTACGGAGGATATCCCTATAGGTTGTACTCTAAAAATCTATTTTTTAGAATTATATCGGATTATCAATGTACCAAACGTTAAAAAAATTTTGAAAAATTATTAAAGCATTTATTTTATATTGATGTCCGTTAAATAAATTGAGTTATTTAGTACATTATCTGAACAATGTGATCAGCAAATAAAACAGTAATTTATCAGTAGACTAATAATTGAAACTTAAAAGTAACGAGAGTCTCAGATTTATGATAAAATATTATATCAATGTTTATGTTAATTTGCAGTTTTATATGCATCATTCGTGGCCGTTGAGATTAGTTATTACTCACTCATGCATTTATATGCAACAAAATACTTATATACGATAGAAATCATGATAAACCACAGTTTACCATCAAAAATCTAGTTATAATGAGTTAGAGGAAAACATGAGAGATCAAAATAATCATCAATCAGAAAAAATAGTTCATACTGTCTTTATGCGTTCAGTTTTAATTTTTTTGTTTTTTTATGTTTTTAGCAAGCTTGTTTTCTACACAGCATAGACCGACAACAAGCAATCTCCAACAGACTCTGTCCTAAGTTTGACTTTCTAGTTGTCTCCATCTGCTACTCATTATCTTAACGTCTGCTTCCAGTTCTAAAATCCACACTAGATCCTCCTCATCCGTTTGCCAGACATCATGAATAACAGCCTACTATGAGAGAGAACAAATCAGATTCCAGTTGAGGAAGAAATTAGGAAAAAGTACTGAAGGTGGGTTGAACACATATTACGAAAATCGTTCAACTGCATCACAAGACATGCAGTGATTTGGAATCACTGAAGCTAAAGGAAAGGAAATCGATCGAAGAATATGCCGCACCTAAAACTGGAGAAAGACATCGGATGAATGACTAGATATTGACAACAACCGGAAACGAGACCCCTAGACAGAGACATTTAGAGATTGTTGGTCAGCAGCCTATACTCTATGAGGGGTAACAAGCTTACATAAGTAATAATCAATTTCTCAGTAACCATGATGAACAGTGAATAACAATTCATCTAATCAACTTAATCCTATTAGTCAGAAGCCAAAAGTATTACCTCTCATAAAATCATACTCTGAATGAACATGATTTAATTTCTATAACTCATTCTTAGTGTAAACAGACGTCAGTAATTGTGAATGATTCAGATAATACTCCCCATCTGAATGCGAATGAACAAATGTAAACAGTTTGACTTTGATCTGATCATTGAATGACTGAGATAAGATTTAAAAAGTCACATATTAATAACAGGAACTATGTAATATTAATATAAGTTATAAAAAATTATTCATTGTTTCGAAAAAAAATTACACTAACCTTTAGCTTTTTGACATTTATAATAAGCATTAGAATAGTAGGCTGCAATAATTGAAGCAATAATTAAAAATAATAACAATAAAATAAGTAGTAGAATGAGTAGTATTTTAGAAATTCCACTTTTGGATTTATGAATTTTTGCTGATGTCGATGACGAATTCAATGGTATAATAACAGTATCTAATGCATCGCCATCTTGATTGTTAGATTTATTTAAATTGGTCATTTTCACAGGATCACGTCTTGTACTATTGTTGTTGTTGTTGCTGTTGTTGTTGCTTGACATGAATAAGACAATTGAAACAAGTTCAAATATATATTTCCGAAGGAAAACAAATGAAAGGTTTTTGATATGAAGTTATCAATGGAAAATGATTATTTGTGTTTGTTTGCTTTTTTTTTAAAAAAAGAGCGCAATTACAATTGAAATATTTAATAATGCCCGCAACTTGTTCAATAGTTCCAATAACAATTAGTTATAATAATAATAATAATTTAATTTTTCAATAATTAGAGATATTCCATTGATATTCATTGTTTTCTATGAGTAGTAGAATTAGCAATGATTTAAAAGAAGCATCAATAAAAAAATAGATTTAGCGACTGTATCTTTTTTTTTTAATAAAAAATAAACACAATTAATGCTATTCTTTATTGTAGTAATTGCATAATAGTGAAATATACATGATAAAACTCGAACAGACCAAATCATTAATTAGATCAACTAACTATTGTATTCATTCTATGCATTGTTCATGCTTTCAAAGTTCCACTGTGACTTAGATGTGAATAAGGTGTTTTATTGTCTGAATGATTAAACCGTACAATTTGATTTCATTTATTCACAATTGTATAACAATCTGATCAATATTCAATGATTGTGCTCTGTCTCAATATTTTCCCACTGTAGACAAACAACAGCATGGATACGCTTGTATGTGTGCGAACATGCATAAATCTGCACAAGTACACTTTTACAAAAACCTATAAATGTAGACTTATCTATTTATATGATTTAACAACTATGGCCACAGGTAACTATACACAATAAATGTAGTGAATACACATTATTTCCATAGGATTATATGGATTTCATGTATGTCCCTAGAAAATTTCTATCAACCACTAAGAGAAATTGTAGAGTAGATGCAACAACTTATAGCATTTATAGGTCACTGTTAAGAAAATGAATGTCTGTACAATTTTCGAATATGTTTGTACTACTACTGTTAGTTTAAAATAAAAAGTTTATCCACAAAAAATTGATGACTGTTTATGCTGACTGAATAATACTATTATACTATACTAATCGTGTTATGAACATTTTTACAAAACCAGTTGATTTGAAACATATGGTTAAATTGTTTTATCGCATACATTGGCAAGGAATTTATTCAATAATCGAAATATTTTACAATCATATCTTTGAAGTAGTTAGTTGCATTTATTGAAAAATTATTTGATAGGTCTACGTGGAAAAGATATATATATATATATGATTTTGGTTTTATAAACATGCCTAATACATTTTTATTGATTATGTACACAAAGAGGAAAAGAACGCGCATCCTGAATCCTACTGCCAGTCACCATCCATTTCTGATTGTACACTTTAAAACATTTACGGGTTTTTATTTTAAAACATTTTCCATGGTATAAAGTAACCCTCATGGCTGCAGATTATGTAAATAATTACTAATAAAGATGAACTACTGAGTAACATGACAATACCCAATATTAAGTGAAAAAAAAAAGAAATAAACACTCATTTGTAACAATGCGTTTCGTGTACGATGAAATTAACTTGACTATAAAACATAAAGACACCTTTAATTATGAGGAGAGCAGGGACGAAAAATTTGGCAAAATAACATGAATTCATCTTATATTGTAAGGTTTTAGTCAGCTGCTTACAACTGATATTATTTTATTAATCGAAATGATTGTAAACTGACTTACCTTTGACAGTTAAAACCGGTTATGTATCATCATGATGTAGCAATGATACTGAAGACATATGAAGATTATGGTAAATAATAAACATGACATATGTATAATGATTCTGGATCACCGGACACAATAACAAGAAATAATAAGTGCTTTCCATATTTTAAAAATATTATCGGTTGTGAGCAGTTGATGAGAATTTTACAAAGTAAAATAAATTCATGTTATTCCGCTGAATTCTTTATCTTTTGCTTTCTTTAAGATAATAAATTAAACTAACTGTAGGAAATACTCCCATTTTATCAGCCTGTGCAGAATTTACAATTACATGTTTTCGTTATCAGAAAGGACTTCTAGACTGGTGCTTCAAAAACTGTTATTCACATGAAAGCTTCTGAATCAAGTTATCTGAACTTCCCACAAAAAAAATATGTAACTTTCGATACATTAGTGATTGTTACATGAGGACAGTTATAAACGCATTAGATAAGCATGAATTGTAATTGTTTCACCTGTCTAATGAGTCAATTTTAGGAAACGCGTGATCTGATTTCGAAAATTTGATTTCACTAATCAATAAATGTACAAACTTTCTGTGCATCGAATGAAGCTACAATGTTTTTGAATAATGAATGCATTTTTATTTCAAAACCCCTTTTTAGTGATGCATCCCGCTTATTTTCCTCATCAAGTTTTTTTACACAATATTTATAAATGAGTAACATTTTGTAAAGTATAGCACCTAACATATATTAGTTTTATTGATTAGTCGTTTAAATTATTCGATAACAGTATCGACTATTGTATATATTTGAATTTGTGTGTGTGTGTGTGTGCATGCTTACTTCTCTCTGATCACATGTCTAGCCTATTTTCGCCTGACTATAAATACTTAGTCATACTTCAGCTCATCATTGTAGTTAGCTCACTGGCCTTCTCCGATTCGCTTTACTTTGCATGTGCACTTTTCACCCGTATATCTGTCCGCCTAAATGAATGCATGAAATAAATTCATCCTCAAAATCGTATTTAGCTTCGTATTACTGCTGTTGCACAAACGGAGTTTGCCAAAGTATGATTAACGGAAATAAAAAATTAGTCCAAACTGGATACATTTTATCCACTATAGAAGTACATTTAAAAAAAGTTAACATTTTTGGTCAAAAAATACAAATCTATTTACAATGAAAAAATACTTGCATGTGAAAGTGAAATGATGTCTAAGAAAAATTGTCGTTAATTAATAAAGAAAATAACATACTAATGACTATCAATTTAATTTAACTTGTAGAATTTTCAAAGTAATTTAACAACAACTAACTTTACAATACATTTTACAAATAAATTACAAGGAATTTGACAATTTTGTTTGCAGTATGATCCAATTTACAACTGACTATTAGCTTGTAGTTTCAAAAATAAAAACAAGAAATTTACGATAATACACTACAGTTCCCTATTGAAAATTTTTATCATGATAATTAATTACCGTAGAGCATGATAAAATGTTCACTTATGCCACATCAAATATTCATCCTTTGCATAGCTCTTCCATTTGAAGGAACCTGATTTACAATGGCCAGGTCATGTAGTTTTAGCAACAACACTTGTTTCGAAGCATTTTTCTATACCATTAATTTCCCATATTTTACATCAGTGTACATTCATTGGTCCTAATCATGTCAACAAATGAAGAACTGAGATTCAAAAAAAATAAAAGAGTCGAAATTTGAAATAATTTCGATGACTTTGAATGATAATCAAATTATTCAATGATCTGAATTTATTTTTGGCATTTTACAAGTTTGTTAACTATAAATTGAGATTTAAACTGAACATTGTGATATCAAAGTACTATAATAATTTTAAATACAGTTTATGTTTTAAATTTTGGTACGCTCAAACTAATAACTACATATTATCTAAAACTTTCAATACGATTCAACTAAATCATTCGGAAATACCAGTGTAATAAAGTTTTCACTCCATATGTATATACTCAGTCGAATAATTCATTTAAATATTCTAGTAACTTACCATAATTAGCCTATGATACATAGTTATTATTTCATCTCACATACAGTTCAGTATGTTTACAAATTAACCTTTGTACAACAGCAACTTATCCATTTCACTGTACTTTTATTATTGTTGAGATTGTAGGTACATAAAAGTATCGATATAACAGTATCGATCATTTTTATATTTGTGATAAATTCGATAATTGTATCGACCACTATATATTTTGATTAATAAACAGTATTGTGACATCATCGCCGAGCCTTGTATAGGAACAGTCGTCAGGACGGACGAAGTTGAGGAAAATATTCAAAGTCCAAATCCACATAATTGGTGAGCCCGACTAAATAATGTAACGCAGTTTTCTACGATTTAAATGAAATACGGAAGTCAACTTAGTAAATAGAAATCACATTCTTGATACTTTTCGCAACACCTATGCTTACTTGAGATCATGGAAATTCTTATCCAAAAGTATATATATATATATATATATATATATATATATATATATATATATATATATGTAAGAGAATATTAAGTGACTGCTACTCAATCATGACTTTGGAGAATTCACTGAAAAAAAAGGATATTTTAGATTGTGAGAGCCAGTGTTCGAGAAGAGAAAGTTCATCATCACATTGCTTAAACCTGTCAAAGGAACTAACCATTTAAAATACAAGACTCTGACTGTTGTATGAGTATAGTTGGTTTATTAGCATTTCTTAAATCTAACAATTAGGACTCTACAAGAAACTTTTAAATGTGATTGTTACCTAATCAGATAAAAGTATTTCCTATGAACTGCTATGATTAGTGAAAGGTGAATTAAAGTTCTTAAAACCAGAAAGCCTGTAGAAAGCAAAATTTCTTAAAATATGCTCAACATTTGTATTCATATATTTACTTCAAAATATTCGGTTCTGAAGCACCATCTTATCAATAAAATTATTTTCATGTCACTATCGATCTTGATTGCTATATTTACCAGCACAATAAAAATAAATCCCATATACAATTATGGAAAGATATATTTGATACATGAATATTCTAACATACAATAATCACTTCGTTAAAATAGGAAAATTGACAGTTAACTAATCTCGATGTGAACATTTTGGCGGTGATTTTAAATGTTATTAAAAAGGATTAAATAGATTTTGTAAATCGTAAGGAACATATAAGTTCTTTTTAGTTAGAGAGATTAAAGATTAATTAACATTTTAAAAATCAACGTTCTAATCTTTAGACATAATATTAAAAAGTATATTGATTTAAAAAATTCATAAGAACTGCAATCAATCAATCAATCAATAGCAACACAGAACTTCGTACGTACATACATCAGTTTATGTTGCCATATCACATAAGCACATTGTCAATTCAAGTCCCATAGTAGTTGAGGTAGTAAAAGTATTAGCAGTAGTCGGAGAGATTAGGGTTAGAAAATATTATTCAAAAAGTAGAATCTAGTGAAATAAACTTAAAAAGAAAAAGATAAAGTGATGAGGAACTAG